GAATGGAGCAGCGGCAGGCAGAGTGGCCTGTCCGAAGACGAGGATAGCGTAATGTCGGACGTGAACCAGGAGCCTCCGTTCTTCGCCAAAGTGAAGACGGCCAGCACGAAACGAAAACAGGTGTCCCAACCGATTCCTCAACAGCAACAACCGATCCCCCAACCGTTACCTCAGCAACAAAAAGATTATATGCAGCAGCAAAAAGATTATATGCAGCAGCAACAACAGCAGCAACAACAACAGCAGCAGCAGCAACAACAACAAAATCTGCAGCAACAGCAGCAAGCCCTTCAACAACAGATTCAGCAGCATCAGGAGCAGTTACAGCAGCAAGCTCTCCAAGATGGTTGGGGGAAGGAGAAGGATCAGAAGAAAGAAATGGAGCACGAGATTGGCGAACAGATCAGCGGTTTCGAGGAAGAGACGTCGGGGAAGAGCACGGGTTCCGGTTCGGGTGGCTCGTCCATATTCCAAACTGTTGGAGATATCAAACGATCGACTGGCAGCTCTGACGAGGCCCCTAACGAAAAAGCCCCGAAACTTCCCCCTGTGACGTTGATGGGCGGCGCAAGCATGGAATTCGCTGTATCCAGGGCACTGGGAAAGTATCGTCAGAGACAATCCTCGACGGTGTCCGACGAACAACCACCGAGCGAAGAAGGTAGCACGGAGAAGAAATCCGACGAAGGCACCATCCAGACTCTCGAGACGAGTTTCGAGTATCCCGAGGACATGTCGGAGAAGAGCGAGAAGAGCGAGAAATCTAGCAGCACGAGGTTGCCGGAATTGGTGACCAGCATATCAGAGGAAGCTCCACCGTCGGAAGGGAGCCCATCCGCGTCGAGCACGAGGGGTCAAACCCCGGCTGGTAGCCGATTCCTACCGCGACATCAACAATCCCTCGAGATTCCGTGGACCGGTTCGAGACAGGGCGAATTGGACGAGGATAATCGAAGTACGCATTCCTATCGAAGCACGTCGAGGGTCTCGTCCAGGCGGCAAAGTACGGAGGATTCGATCGACTCCGAGGACGAGTGGTATAGATACGAGTTGAGAAAGCTGGAGGAGCTCGAGAGGCAATCGCAAATAGAGATAGAAATGGGCGAGGTGCTGGTCGAAGAGCCTGAAGAAGTTGAACACTATCAACCGGACGAGGCGGTGAAGGAAAAGATGTCGTTCGTGCTGAAAGAATTAAAGTTGAAAGCCAGTAGCAAGGTAAAAGAGGAGAAGGTGAAGGAGGAGAAAGAAGATCTACGAACGAGTAAAATGAACGGGACGGTGGCGAAAGATCGTCGAGTCGAGGACAAGTATCGAGACGAGAAACCGATTCCAAAACGAAAATCCGCTGAGAGTATCGAGGCGGTGTTTGCAAGAGTCACCGATTATCATACTTGGGCGCATGAGGAGGAAGCTAAGAAAGAGAAACCGGCCATGGAAGAGGGCTCTTCTGGAGAAACCTCTGGTCCTGATAGTCCGGTCCAATCGATGGACGAGGAGGAAGAGGAAGAATTGCCGAAAGACATTGACGAGCAACCGTCGAGACGAAGTTCCAGCGGCTCGACTTTTCGACACGGAGAAAAGATCCATTCTGGTTCCGAACCGATATCTCGCGAGGGTAGCGTGAGTGTACCGCCTAGCGAGGTCTCTGTTAGCATTCCAGGTGCTTGGGATTCGGAGAGCACTGTTCTTGAAGGTTTGGAGCGAGACGGTGCTGGTAGCGCTGAAACGGCTACTACGGCGACTTTGAGTCTGCCCAAGATTAAAATCGATTCTTCGTCGTGCGGCAGTTCCGACACGACACTGAAGGAGGGCCAGGTAAGTCCTGGTCCACCTGGGTCGAAATGGAAATTGCTGAAAGCGTTGAAGGAGCGAAAGGCGGAGGAGAAGATGAAGGAGGTCGAGGAGGCCTCCAAGGAGACCACCATTTCTCAGGGACCCACGGCAGTGAGTATTATGATAAAGTGAGGACACGAAAATCTTTGTAAGGCGTACTCGAGATTCGGAGATTGGGTGAAATCGTAGAGTTAAGTATTTTAATAAAATTATTTCCGCTATTTCCATCTCGTTAATTGTTTACAGTATTTGAGTTATATTAATTTATAGCAATTTTAGTGTATTTTACGTGTAGGATGTTAATAGCTGATATTTTATATGTTTTTTGTCTAGATTTTTTTTATTACGAAATACTAATTGTTTATTTAAAAACAATTTTTAATTATATATTTTCTTTTCTGAACAGCTTATTTTTTCAAGTTTATCAAGTTATCAAGTTTCTAATTAAGATATATATATTTATATATAATCGTGAAATTATAAATTTCTTAGATATTAATAGATAAATGAAAGATGCTTTTAACATCCTGCACAAAACAAGAAATCGAGTGAAATAAGTAAATGAAAATGATCTACAATTATCTAATTTCATACTTTGTTGATACAAGACAACTTAGAAATGAAATACAAAAACGAACCAATTATAATACAGGGAACAACTTATATTACTCGGCTTCTAATGCTACGATAATAACATTTCTTTGAATTACCTGACCAATTCAATAGCGTCGCATGTAACACTGGATACGATTATTGTCACGTCACGATTCACAGCTCTTTTTCCACTAT